TTTCAAAATAGTTTAAAAATATTAAATCAGGTGGCTGTATGAGTAGCAATTTACATAAGAAATCAATAAGGAAAATAATAGTTTGAGGAGACTAATAAATAAGCCTGCAGCCATTTTTGCTTTGATCGACAATACAGCCACTTGCAAGAAGAAAAAAAAAATACTATTTTTAAAGCTGTGGATTTTTCAATATTTATTTTTCAACCGTCATTTATCTTGCATGTTGTAAATCAAAATGCTAATGCCCTAAGATCATTCAATTTCACAACCACGTTAGAGAGAAAATATTCTAAACCTACTCAGACGTAATTTTGAATTAAGAACCTAAACAGCCTATACTATGATAAAAACTCAATGTAAATAGAATAGCTAGAAAGAGATGGTATTCCTACTTCTAGCCATGACCACATCAATGCCAAGATTAGGAGATATTGGAAGATGTGATTACAGTATCCTGTGCCTGCCCTTCAGGGCCTATTTTCAGATATTAAGGTTATTGTTAGAATTGGTTCAATAAAATAACTTTATCTCAATGTTAACAATTTTCTTAGGATCCTTTAGACATCTCCGTTGATAAGGAAAAATTATAAAGTGAGCAATCTCTTTATAGACACAGCTTGTGTATTTTTACTTTAACTTGAAGTTTAATTACTTCAAGAGAAGCATAAAACTTAGGAGGCTTGTGAGGCCATATCTAGTGTGTTACTGATCCTGTAGTAGGGCTTGGCATCATGTAGTTCAGAACTGAATTTCAAAATTTTAACAGTTTACATTAGGAAACTGTTGCATAACTACTGAGCATATAAAAACTCATATGTACCTACATTGGTGTGGGGTGTGTGTGTGTGGGTGTGTGTGTGCATTTTTCTAGTCCTCCAGTTAAAGTTATAGATTTTGCTTTATATTGCAATGAATTGAAAACACGTTCTGTATGCTTCAACTTCAACTATGTTGGCTATGAAAAGTATGTTTATAGAGAGGAGATCTGCTGAACTCACCCAAATCACAAAGAAAAAATATTTTTTTGGTTAGAATTGCTTATTAAATAGGGATTGCTTCTGTCATGATTTATACTTTCAAACAGAATTTGGGGTTTTGATCCCGTTTACTAAGAGAATGAAAGATATCTGTGAGTTACAGATAATGAACAAAATGAGAAATTTCAAATCTCACATTTGAGAAAATAGAGGGGGGTATATGGCCTCTTTTAATATTTTCCAAAATTTTCCGAAAATTTACTTAATGCTGAATTAATTCTCAAGTGCAGAAATATACATATAAAGTGGTTTTATGATTCTTTCTAAGCTGATGTATTTTGCCTGTTAAAAATTATGCTGCTCAATTAGTGTTAGAGGCCTTATGTTTGGTAATGACAAGTGTCTGGGCTACATGAGTCTCTATATATGCGTGCACTTTGTTCCAGTTTTTTGATTCTTGATCCAAATTCTCTACGTATAATTGTATCAAGTATTCAAAAAGTAAAGGGGTCAAAGAAGATTGTTGAATATCTGAGAATTCTAAATACCTTTACGTGTATTTAAAAAGTATTAGGCTGTTTTGAACATGATTACGCTGGCGTTGTCTGCCTTTCAGCCTGACTCCTTCACTCTAGTGTCATGGAAGTCTGTCGGAAACTTTTTTAATAAGCTAAGTATTGTTGTACCTTGCAAAAAAGCCTCCACTCTGAGAAACAGGGCCTTAGAGAGTGGGGATGTTTTCATACTGGGACTCCTGAGGTTTTGCAGATATGTGCAGCTGTTCCATTTAAGGTGCCCTTAAATGTGTAGAATGTAATGTGTTGAATGTTTATGTGTATTCATAAAGTATTTATATGTATGTGCATAAAATTGTCACAAGATGTATTCTCAGGAGTACTGTTACCTGGAGTTTGAAAGAATAACTATTTAAAAAACACATTTGGGGAAGATCAGGAAAAAAGTTCAATATAATTAACAATTTTTTATAATCAAAATATTATTGAGTAGATGACTAAAAATTACTATATATGATAAATACCGATTATATTATTTCTTAAGCCATGATGCTTAATGATATTTATCTTGTTTAAAGGAAAAGCAAAACAGGCACCTACTTCCCGTGTATAAAAAAATTGGACACAACCAAGAGGGTTGCTTCTTCTGAAATTAACTTTTGAGAGACCTTGGAATAAACATGTATCATCCATGATAGTGGGTATAGATTTATACCACTTGGATTCAATTAAAGCAGTTCAAATCCTGGATACAGCATTTTCTATAGCAAAAATTTTACTTTCATTTTTCAGTATTTGCTGCTTTCTATCAGTCTATTAGATATTTGATTTTTCCAAAAAGGAAACTGAGCTATTGAGGGCACTGGGACAAGTCACTGAGAACCACAGTGTCAAAAGGCATAATTGGGCATGACAGTGGTGAAAGAAAAGAAATATTTGGTGCTTGGGTGTTAGGGCCTGTTGCACAGGCTGGGAATAACTGGCTTGCTATTTCATGCCTGCAAGAGAACGTAAGGCAGGGTGACATCTCCTCCCTTCTTTGATATCTGTCCCTTTTGTCCATAAAGAACATTCTTCACTCTGCTGCCTAGCTCTAAGACTATCTAAGATGAGACTACGGTGTTTATAGGGACCAACCGGGAAGAAAAGGTCGTAAGTGGAATTACAGTCCAAAATGCAAACTAAATACCCTTCCTCAAGTTATACAGGATACGTTATTAAGTCTCTGGAATTTGCTGCTATCACACCGAGTCGTGCTGTTGCCCTGTGACCTCACACTTCCAATTCCATGGCCTTGTCTTGGCAGTGAGTAGAAAGTCCCACTTCCTCATTTACTTTAGTGGGTCTTAACTGCAGCATTTCAGAAACACAGTTTGGTTTGACACTCAGGACAATAAAAACCAAGGGCAGAATGTATTTGGAAAAGCTTAAGACAAATTTACTTATATTATTTCAGGATCATTTAGCATTACAGATCAATGTACCTCCATAATATTTTTCAATAGTCACTGTGACTGCAGGATGAAAATCCTTTATTAGCCATTTTATAGGTAAAAACAAAAGATTGATTACACAGCCAACTTCCCTCAGATGACTTTGAAGTCTGTTATGAATACTGAATGACCAAAGAGCATGGGAAAAAAATGCATATGAATAAATACTGAAACGTTTATGAAAGATATTTATGAAAGATATTAAGACCTCTGTGTTTGAATATGCACATATAATAAAATAAAGCTAAAAACATTTAAGATGCCTGATTCAGTTTCATTTCTCATTTCTCAACATAGGGAATAGGTCAACTCATTGGAGGAAAGTGTTCCTTTTGCATCCCTGGGGTGTGCCCGGGCGTGTCTTCTCAAGCCCCGCGGTCTGGCTGGAGGTCACCCTTCAGTTAGACACCTCCAGTTCTTCTCTCCAACCCATCTGAGCTCCATTTTACTCAAGCTTTCCACCCATATATTTCAAAGTAAAGCAGAATGGGCTTCTGGGTATCCCAGTTTGATTTCTCTGCCCGGATTTGTGACCTGCTGGAATAACTGGCAGATTTCCCGGGAGGAATGGGAAGGAACTGGTTGCCCTCCGAATGCGGCCAGAAGCACGTGGCGTCCAAGTCCCCACCAGCTGTCTTGTAATAGTACAAATGTGCACAAATAGTACAAAGTGCCCATTCTCTACCATCTAAGCTATGCTCTTGCTAAATCCCCTTTTTTCCCTCACACGGTTTTATTTCAGCTCGTCCTGACTCAATGACCCTAGACACACTTAGCAGAGGCACAGATCCTCTCTCTTCCAGACTGTGTTTGGACAGCAAATGTATTAGTTTGTCAGCGAACATGACTGAGAGAGAAAAGCAGACGGTTAGAAGGTTGAGGGCCGGAAGTCAAGAAGGAAAATAGTAATAACCACCCTGATTTGGTTTTTTTTTTTTTTTTTTGGTTAATATTTTTTTATTTCAACTCAAATATATTTCCTATTTCCCTTTTTGAAAATTTTTTTTTATTGGAGTTCAATTTGCCAACATGTAGCCTAACACCCAGTGCTCAGCCCATCAAGTGCCCCCCTCAGTGCCCGTCACCCAGTCACCCCCACCCCCGGCCCACCTCCCCTTCCACCACCCTTTGTTCATTTCCCAGAGTTAGGAGTCTCTCATGTTCTGTCTCCCTCACTGATATTTCCCACTCATCCTCTCTCCTTTCCCTTTATTCCCTTTCACTATTTTTTATATTCCCCCAAATGAATGAGACCGTATAATGTTTGTCCTTCTCCGATTGACTTACTTCACTCAGCATCATACCCTCCAGGTCCATCCACCTCGAAGCAAGTGGTGGGTTTTTGTCGTTTCTAATGGCTGAGGAATGTTCCATTGAATACCTAGACCACAGCTTCTCTATCCATCATCTGTCGATGGACACCGAGGCTCCTTCCAGTTAGGCTATTGTGGACCGTGGAAGGAGCTCAGAGTCCATCGACAGATGGATGGATGGATAATTTGCAAGCAGCACCAGGCCGCACGTGCGGGGCGCCTTACCCTGGATTCACCTGCCAAATCCTTACATCCCCCCAAAGGCTGGGAGGACCCTAACAGGTGAGAAAACAGAAGCAGGGAGAATTGTTATTCCCGAAGCGCGAGGCCTCTGCCCTAAGCCTGACTCCTCCACCTCTTGGCAGGAGTTTAAGGAGAGGGGCGCGGGCGGAGGGGACTGCTCTTTTGTTCCTTGAAGACAAGCGCAGGAGCTGGAGCGGAAAGCGACGCAGATGCAAACAACGGGGAAGCACAAAGCGAGCGAGGGCGTGAGGGCAAGGGAGCTGCAGGGGGTGCAAAGCCAGCACTTAACAAGCTGCCTGAGGTCCGCGAGGACCGCGAACTCCGAGGGGCGGGCTTCCTGAAGGTCAAGGGCAAGAAGCCTGGGCCTGCAGGCAAGGCCCCGCCCCCAGGCCCCCGGGCGGGCGGCCCCGCCCCCTGGGGGAGGCGGGACTTCCGGCGCGCGGGCAGCTGCTTCCGGCGGAGTCCGGAAGACTGTACCGGGAAGGGGCTAGAACTGCGCAGCCAATCGGGGCGACACTCTGGTCCTGCCGGGGGACTCGTGGGTAACTTGCTCTCGGGGACCAGCACCATGGCGTCCGGCTGCAGGATTGGCCCGTCCATCCTTAACAGCGATTTGGCCAACTTAGGGGCCGAGTGCCTCCGGATGCTGGACTCTGGGGCCGATTATTTGCACCTGGATGTAATGGACGGGTAACTCGGCGGCGCTGGGGCGCTGGGGTCGGGGTGGCCGCGCGGGCGGGCTCGGCGCAGCTCGGTGGGGCGCCTGTTGGCTGCACGGCGGCCCGGGCCGCGGAGCGCCTCGCTCCGAACGCGCTCCTGAGAAGGGGGCCGGCGGGGAGGGCCCCGGGGCGACCCCGAGGGAATCCGCCCCCCCCCCGGCCACCCCCCCTCCCCCCTTAACGTGTGGCCTCCAGCCCTCGGGACCCGCACGCAGTCGGGGACCTCCAGGACACGGCGCTCATTTCCAGTTAGGGAAACTGAGGCCCAAGGGGATAGGCATGACTTGCCCAAGCTCATATGGCTAGTCAGAGGCTAACGCTGGGGAGGCACATCCGTGTGACGACGGCGAGCCCGGCACCTGTGGTGAGCTTGCCCGCGTTCCGCCCGTTAGGTGGGACAAGCCGCTTCACCTCGCTGAGCTTCGGCCTCATTCTGTGAAAAATGGGGATAATGATGGAACCTGCCCCGCGCAGGCCCCTCCGGAAGGCGGACGGGCCGAGCGCCCAGCATGCAGGGCCTGCCATACAGCAAATTCTCCGTGATCCGCAGTTGTTGGGGTCATTGTTGGAATTTTGATTCACCTGTTTATTTTTTTTCTTCAGGCACCCTGCTCTCCAGGGAGGTCAGTGGTTTTTTTTGTTTGTTTGTTTGTTTGTTTTTTGTTTTTGTTTTTTGTAAGCGCTGTAGTTGTAGCACACACTCCACATCGTTCAGAATCAGGACGATGCTGGTTTCTGGAAGGTGACTCCACAAGGTGGGACTCTCAGGGTCACACAGCATCGTGCCCCAGTTGCAGATTGTACTTTGTTAGATTCGCCAAGTAGTTTCTTTTCTTTTCTTTTCTTTTCTTTTCTTTTCTTTTCTTTTCTTTTCTTTTCTTTCTTTTTTTTTTTTTAAGATTTTTTTATTTATTTATTAGAGAGAGATGGAGAGGCAGGCTCCATGCAGGGAGCCCAACGTGGGACTCGATCCGGGGTCTCCAGGGTCACGCCCTGGGCTGAAGGCGGCGCTAAACCGCTGAGCCACCCGGCCTGCCTTTTCTTTTTTTCTTTTTCTTTTCCTTTTTCAAACATTTTTACTTATTCATGAGAATACGCAGAGAGGGAGAGAGACACAGGCAGAGGGAGAAGCAGGCTCCATGCAGGGAGCCCGACGTGGGAGACTCGATCCCAGGTCTCCAGGGTCACGCCCTGAAGGCGGCGCTAAACCGCTGGGCTGCCCGCCAAGTAGTTTAAGTCGCCCGACAACTGGCCTTGAAGTAATAACAGCCATTACCTTGGGTCCCGGTAGAAAAATAATTGATTTTAAATAGGTGGAATGCCTGTGTGCCCTCTCGCAAATTTGTGTCATTTACGAAAAGAATCAGTCACTGCCTTTTGGTTTTGATGTCACTCCTGTTACAAGAGTTCTGTCTTCCTTTGTTCTGTCTGGTTAGATCTTTTCCCGTTTGCACCTCATTCATTTATCAGTATCCCGACCGATAATGGCAAATTCTTGACCCGAGAGTATTGAGAATTATAGGGTAAGTGCATCAGATTAGTAAATACTGCCTCTTCACAAAAGCGCGATTTTATCGTGCTGTCATGGGAGGTAATTCTGCTTTTCTGGAAAGTTCTGAACTTTCACACATAAGTAAATGGAGTGTGTACTTCGGAGATGGGCCCGTTTTCAAGTGTGGGACATGAAATTTGGCGTCTGAGACCCCTACGTCAGGATGGAGCAGGCCGCACGTGTATGTGTGTAGTCTCTTTAACAGGCACAGCAATTTGATTTTTTTTTTTTTTTTAAATAAGTCTCCGACCATGTTTGAGTAAGGGAATGGAAAAGATAACTTGTTTCTGTTCACAAGTCAGGACCATGAGCGGTAACAGTAGCAGCTATTATTTTGGAACACTTCACTAATTCTGATGTTTTTTTGGGAATTAACTCACACAACCTCATGAGGTTGGTGCTCTTATTGGCACCAGCACTTGACAGTGGGGAATTGGACACAAAGAGGTCAAGTCACCTGTCGGAGATCTCCTAGTTGGGAAGTGGAGGAACCAGGATCAGAAGCATGCAGCGGCTTGTGTTGTCTCAGAAACGAATGGCTTCTGTGGCTCCTGGGCTAATGGAGAATGATTAAGACATTCTTTTTCCTCAAAGAGGAACTAAAAGTTTATACTTAACGTTTGTGTATTTCGTATCTCTCCTGCTAACGCTGCAGACTCTGAAAGCAGGGTCTCTTTGTGGCTCACCTCAATCCTCTTCAGGTGAAGCACCATGGCAGGTTTAGTTATGATTGGTTGAATGAATGATTGGATCCATCGTAAGAGGGATTTCTAATGAATCACATTTGTTCCTTCCCAGCCCCTGTGGCAGACCCGGAGCTTATTAAGATAAAAGTATTTGTCTTTATTGACTCCTTTCCCCCTTTGCCAAGTAACATCTTGGTTTGACAAAATTAAATTCTCCAAACACCGTTTTAAAATCCTTTCCCTTTTAACCTTCACAACTTTTTGAGCTAAGAGGTATTTTTATTTCCCTTTTGCAAAGGAGGAAACTAGTTTAGGGAGGTTCAACCTCTTGTGATCTGCAGCCAGAAGAGGCAAGGCTGGCTCAGGTGCATTGTTTCCTAGGCCAGATGTGTGAAAGTGGGGACCTGGACTCCCTTTTCCTTTTTTTTTTTTTAAAGATTTTATTTATTTATTCATGAGAGACTCAGAGAGAGAGGGGCAGAGACACAGGCAGCAGGAGAAGCAGGCTCTCTGCAGGGAGCTCGATGTGGGGCTTGATCCTGGGACTCCAGGATCACGCCCTGGGCTGAAGGCAGACGCTAAACCGCTGAGCCACCCAGGGATCCCTGGACTCCCTTTTCCAAGGTGGCCAGCCACAGCTTAGCTTCCCTCCAGGTCCTGCCTTCATGCTTTTTTTTTTTTTTTTTCCTGATCCGTTTAAACGGAGTCCACTATTACAGTTTGAGTGCACCTATTATTTCCCCCCCCCCAAGAATGCCCCTCCCCCCAATTTCTCTCCTGATTAAAACTGAATGTCTTCATCTTGAAAGTCAGGAACGAATTTTGGGAATACTGTGGGGCATGGTGCATGGTGTATGGTTGGATACATGGAAAAAAAAAAAGAACAAGTGATTTCTCTAGAAAAGAAAATTGGAAAGCATATAAACCTATCATGACACGACAGTGACCAGAAATGGCGTTGGTCCTCAGTGTAGGAGCAGAACAATTATGCAGTTTCTAAATTGCTTACCAGGATTTAGGGTTGGGGGATTTCACATTAGTACTAAATTGCTGACTTTTGAAAAACATCCAAAGGTTCGCCGGTGGTGGGTCCACAGCCTTCTGAGGCCACAGCGGGCTGGAGCTGAATGGAGCCGCCGTAGCAGCTCGGCTGGTGGATGTTCTTCATCGGTCTTCTGTCCCCACCTGCCCTGTTGTGCTCCTCCGTGTTTCCTGCCAGCCCCTGTAGACATATGAAAGGTGTTTCCAGATTCACTGGAGATGTTTTCTGGTTACCGCCTAGCTCCATTTTAGATCAGTCTTCGCCAAGTCTTCTAGCCATCTTAGCCTTGATGGGAGAGCCGGTAAAGGTTTTATTTGTCTGAAGCTTATTGTGTGACAATTGTAAACAAAGCTTAGGGTTGATGATGGGAAGTGATGAGAGAGAAAATAATTCTGTGCCTGTGTTGGAGACTATTATAGCCAAATCTCAGTAAGTCTCTGGGGGAAAAAGAGACCTTTTTTTTTATTGTGTGTTCTTTTTTGCAGACTTCACAAAGTACCTTTAAGGGGGGAAAAAAGAATAAAATAAGGATGAAGCAGACTTCCTTGATGAGATTTCACTTCATTGGAGTGAAATAATTTGGTATTTTCCAAGCTGGTCTGATAAGAACCCGCAGGGCATTTATTAGAAATTTTGATTCTCAGGTCCTCCTTGGTGTCAGAGGGTTGGAGGAGGGCCCGTAAATCCTTTGTGCCAAGGGCTCCCAGGGTTAATGTTGTCGGGCAAATTTAGGACCCATTGACTTCATGCTTGGGTTTGTTGCCCTTTTTTGCCTTGGCTTACCCATAAGCCTTTGGTTTCCTCTGAGGGCATCGGTAGGTTTCTGTTCTCCTGGTGGACGAGGCGAACCCAGTGCACTGCATTGATCATCAGTGCAATTAGGCCTACCACTTGGGGACCAGTCCTTTCAGATGATATTTTATTCTTGTTTCCCATAAAGTAAATTTGTTTTATTCTCATATATTCTCAAGGTGTGTGTGTTTAGATGGCGTGTGAAGACAGACACAACTTATTTTCACTATAAAGGTAACCTGAGGTTGAAGGCTGCTGAAGTCCTCCCAGGGCCATGCAGCAGATGACAGAAGCAGTGAACAGAAGCCGAATCTCTTGTTCTGGAGTTGTATGCTATCCAGTAGGCCTCCCTGTCTGCTTCTCTGATCCCCACCTCTGTGTTCCAAGTAAACATAACCATTTTCTCCTAACACAGGTAGTCACTGCTCTTAGGTGAACGGTAGAATGATGTTCTAAGTACTAGAAACACAACCTCCAGGGACGGAAGTGTTTGCAGGTGCAAGTGTCTGGACCCATTCACCTCACCCGGTCCCTCTCAGAGGTGTCCTGAGTCCTGAGCTCTCTCTCCTCCTCCTCTGGACTTTCTTTTTTTGTTGTTAGTTATCAGTGGACAGCAGGTGAGCATAATAGTTGAAAGGCTGGACTTTGGAGCCAGATGGCCCGCGTTCAATGCCCGCCTCCGGCACTTCCTGGCTGTGTGACCTTGATCCTCTTTTCCTCATCTGTAACATGCAGATGATAGGAGTGCCTACCCCACAGAGTTGGTTGCATACTGAATGTTGAGAATTTAGGATGGTGGCTGGCCCATGGAAGTTTTAGATTTTAAAGATTTTATTTATTTATTCACTAGAGATACAGATAGAGGCGGAGACACAGGCAGAGGGAGAAGCAGGCTCTATGCTGGGAACCTGATGTGGGACCTGATCCCGGGACTCCAGGCTCACGCCCTGGGCTGAAGGGAGGTGCTAAACTGCTGAGCCACCCGGGCTTCCCTAAGCTTAAGATCCTAATCACATTTATCTTCTCTTCTCTGTCCCCCGCATGTAATCAGTGAGCAAGTCCCGTCACTGTACCTGTCTTTCATTTCCATTCTTACTGCTCCTTGCCATTTGCCAACACCTACCTCCTTGCTTCTGATGTACTGCCCAGGCCATCTTCCTATTTTATTATTTGCAGTTTATTTTTTATTTGCTTCTTGCTTTATTATTATTATTATTTATTTGTTTTTTTTAAATAATCTCTACACCCACTGTGGGGCTCAAACTCACAAATCCAAGAAGATCGAGAGTCACGTGCTCTACGGACAGAGCCAGCCTGTTTCTGCCTTTAGAACTCCACATTTTCCATAGGATGGATTCCAGAGTCCGCGCCTGCCGTTCCCTACCCTCCATGTGACGCAGTCTACCTCCTGTTCTTTTCATGTTCGCCAAGCCGACCACCACCACTTCTCCCCTTCTTTGACTATAACTTGCTTATTTCTGCCATTGCCTTGTTCCCTTGCCCATCTTTACAAATTCTATTTGTTCCGTAAATCTTATGATCCTCCCCTCTTTTAAAGAGCCATGCTACTCACCTCACATTGCCACGTTGCTACTGTTCGCTTTTCTTGCAGTCCTCATCTAGGGTAATGTCTATGGCTTTTAACCAATAAAGCCCAGAGTTCAGTGGGTCAACATTATAAAGTTCACTCATGGAACAGTTCGTTCATGTGACAGTTGAGTGTGAATGTTCTTCGATGAAGAAATTGAGGGACATTGTCTCCTTCCATCCTGTGACAGTCCTTTGGTGAGAACTGGTTGCACAGGCCACCTGGATGTGAAGGGAATTGGCTCTCACCAATTGGAGAGCCACCACAGTCAGGTCATGGCTCCTGTGGAGTCCCTAGCCATTTCTTTCCAAGGAGATGGTAAATTTTTCTGGGTAAGCAGGAACTCCCCAACTTCTGTATAAAACCCAGGCAGGTACTTGTACAGAGGGGGTTTTGTTAAATATCGAAGAAAGCTAGTGAGAGGAGGGCTGCCTGGAGCGGGTTGGTGGTGTGAAGTACCTTGGGTCAGATGCCAAGAGGAATTCATTTGAATCCTGCCTCCACAGATTATTATTGGGTTACTCATAACCCAATAGGAAGTTACTCATCCCGTGCTCTTCAGGCAGGGATATAACAGCATCTCCTTCATGAGGCTGCTGTGAAGATGTAATGAAAGAAGGTACAACCCCTGGCATGTTGTAAATCCTCCGGAAATGGCAGTTATTAATACACACATCAAGCTGCTTTGCTGATGATTTTTACAAAATTTTAAACTGTCGTTTAGTGCCCTGTGATAGAGGTAGGTTAGAAGTAGCCACAGGCAGCCTGTGGCAGATGAGAGTTGGAGAGACCCGTGTCAGAGTCCAGAACTTCCTAACTAGTGTGTGACTTGGGCAAGTCATAGAACTTTCGGGGTTTTGATTTTGTCTTCTTTCCACTTTTACCTCTTGGATGATGAATCATAGAATCAAGTCTTGTGACGTTGTTACAATTTGTTGAAATGTCAAGGAAATACTGCTTTACATAACTGAAATTCTCGGATATTGTTGGTATTGTTTAACACTGTTGATGTTAAATGTTGCACTGAAAAATGCTGCTATCACAGACAATCCCCTCTACCCTCATGAGAATACATTTGAGAAAAATACAGAAACTGAATTGAAAACATTTTCAGAGTAAGATTTTGTTTGTCTTATAGGCATTTTGTTCCCAACATCACCTTTGGGCACCCTGTGGTAGAAAGCCTCCGAAAGCAGCTAGGCCAGGACCCTTTCTTTGGTAAGTGGGTGTGTTAACGCTGTCAGAAGCTGGATATGTTGCTCAAGTAAAGGAAAAGTAGAGGGTCCATTTCCCACCTTCCAGTCTCCTCTTGAACCCTTCCTTTCTCCCTGCTCCCAGTGCCGAGGCTTTGTTGGCTGCTTGTAATAAGCCAAACTCTTTTCTTGCTTCAGGGCCTTGCCACTTCGGCTGATCTCTTTCCCTGGACAAGTGTTCACCTGGCTAGCTCTGACGTATCTGTTGCCCCTGAATTATTGGCATTTCTTCAGAGAGGCCTTTCTCCAAGCACCCCATTCTAAATTCAAGCACCCCATTCTAAATTAACCTTTGTCCAGTTAGCCTATCACCTTCTGAATTTCCTTTTTAGAACTTCAATCAGATTACTTTTATCAGACTGTAAATTCCTTTAGAGATTTTATTTATGAGAAAACAAGTGGTGGGGAGGGGCAGAGAGAGAGAGAGAGAGAGAAGCTGACTCCCTGCTGAGCAGGAAGCTCAACATGGGGCTCCATCCCAGGACCCTGGGGTCATGACCTGAGCAGAAGGCAGATGCTCAACCACCTGAGCCACCCAGGCATCCCTGTAAATTCCTTTAGGGCAGGAATTTTTTTAAATTTTTTTTAACTTTTATTTATTTATGATAGTCACAGAGAGAGAGAGAGAGAGAGGCAGAGACACAGGCAGAGGGAGAAGCAGGCTCCATGCACCGGGAGCCCGACGTGGGATTCGATCCCTGGTCTCCAGGATCGCGCCCTGGGCCAAAGGCAGGCGCTAAACCGCTGCGCCACCCAGGGATCCCCAGGGCAGGAATTTAATCCACTTTATTTACTGTGGTTTCCTTAGACGTGAACATAGACACAAGATTGGAGCTTAGTATAGTTGTTAAATGAATTTATAAATCAGTTGATATATGGTCTAGAAGGAAGACCAATTATTTAGTGCAAATTGGAGTTTCTGGAAGTGGGGCCTATATATGTGCCACTCTGGCATTGTAGGTAGGATAAGGTGAGTGAAGATTTTTAAGAAGTCACAGTGACCTAGAAGTCATTTCTCAAGAGCATGGATTCAGTCCACGTGTTGTTATTGCTCTTAAACTTAGGAATGGCTTAACCTGACAAATCTCTTGTGCATAAGAAATTTATAAGAAATTTAACAAATTTTTATAAGTACGTTCTTATGTCATTTTTGGAATTGTGAAACTTAGTTCATATTAAATAAAATGAAAGATTAAGCTTCTCAGTGGCAGTAGCCGTATCGAAAGCTCTCTATAACCACGTGAGTCTAGTGCCTACTGTGTTGTACAATGCCACTCTGGAGCATTGCCATTATTGTGGAAATTTCTCTCGGGCAGGACCTCTATAGGACCCATCTACTTTTCTCGAAGGAAAATGTCTCATCACTTAATTTCTGTAGCATGAGGGAAATCATGTTCCACTAGAATGTTCGCCATTTTGAAATTTTCAAATAATGAAATGTACTCCTGATTAGCTAAGCTTTTTATAACAATTTTTTTTAAAGATTTTATTTATTTATTCATGAGAGAGAAAGAGAGAGAGGCAGAGACACAGGCAGAGGGAGAAGCAGGCTCCATGCAGGGAGCCCGACGTAGGACTTGATCCCAGGTCTTTAGGATCGGGTCCTGGGCTGAAGGCGGTGCTGAACCGCTGAGCCACCCGGGGCTGCCCTTTTTATAACATTTTAGAAAATGAATTTTCCAAGATAAGTTTGTTCTTATGATCATCAGAGGTGAATGAAATAAGTAGCCTTGTTTTACCCTGCTGTGCTTTGGCCACAGAGTCCTTTGCATCTGGCTTTATATGGATTTAAAAGAATTTTTTTTTTCTTTTCCTCTTTTATTTGGACTCCTAGCACCCCTTCTCACTGCTATTTGTGTCTCCTATGTTTGTGCCTCTCTTACCAACCCCGTTGACACAACCACACACAATCTGCTTTTTCTTTCTGTTTTTCATTTATTTGCCAATAAACTCGCTAATCAGTCTGTCTGGCAGTGGGTCTACAATAAAGATGAATGGACTCCGAATGCTTTAATGTTTGGGTTTTGTGACCTTTGTTTTTATATTAGGAAGTGTGTTTTTTTGTTTAATTCTTGGGTCTTAGTTGTTGGATAACTGATTCACGTGTATATTTTAAGAAGTAATTCACAAATTGCACGAGTAACTGCTTAAGTTCTGAACGGTTCAATCTCCATATTGAGTAGAAATAACCATTAAGCCATCAAGTGATAGGGGTAATCTGTTGTTTTTGTGTTTTGTTTTGTTTTTGTTTTGCTGTTATTGAAATCAGCAGTCTTCAGCTATGATCTGACAACCCACAGGAATCCCTTGCAGGTGGGACATGAGGTGAACCCTATTTTCATAAGACAGTGTTATTTGCCGTTATTTGTATAGGGCAGAAGCAGTGGTGAGTTTGTTAGTGCCGTGGCCCGAATCAAAGCAATGGTGTTGAACCATCCAAGTAGTTATCATAATATTCTTCATCACCATGTGTTCATAGAAATATCCTTGATGAATCAGTACAAATTATTAATTACAGTAAATCTTGATCCTTGGGTACATTTCATTTAATACTTATTATGACAGAGTGGGAGGTACATGTAAAGCTGCATGCAGGACTGACATTTTCTTTAAAAGTAACTAAGTTAGCTTGTCACTTCAAGGAATATAACCTCTTTTTATGTTTCCACTGTTAGAGCTTGGAAGTGACCATTTGAATTGTGAAAAACTTGTATCTGCCTCTGTGAGGTCGTTAGCTTTCTACTGTTTACAGCTTTCCTATTAAACTCCATAGTGACATTAGCAAGTGTGATTTTCTGATAGGATATAATGAAATGTGTCGTCGTTTGGAAGATCTGTGCCATTCAGTAAACTGGCACTTAAGAGATCCATTCAGATTGTATTAGTTTAGGCCAGTGACTTGTAGTGTAACCAAGTGCAGAAAAGTTCACTGGTAGGGTTTACAGATTCCACACTGCAGTGGAAAGGAGTATTTGTCGAGTGCTGGGTTAGGACGAGGAGACTGTCCACACCGGTCCAAACAGGCGATTAACGGACCCCTGCCATTTCCTCCATGTACTTGTCCCCTTGTCTTCATAGAAAACAACATTTGTCAACAGACTAAATGCAGAGCACACGTGAGAATACAGAGGTCTTCTGCGAAGCCAGACGCTAGTAACTTGCAACATGAGTAAAATAATGTCCCTCTGACATTAACATGTGGTAGACTTATTGTTGCTTATTATTGTTCAATGAAGAAGTAGACCTTTAAAATTTCTTAGCTTGAATTTCTAATATATTTTAGATACTGATAAACACAGCTCACACCAACAGCACTTTGGGGGGTCCTCAGTAATTTTTCAGAGTGTAAAGGGAGGCTGATGATAGAACTGCTTTGAGAACTGCTTATCTCCATATGTGAACTACAAGCAAATTCACGGGACCGGTGACTGACCATGAGATTCTCCAGTGGGAGTTGCCAGTTGTCACTGCCTGCTGGAGATGGAATGACGTAGCAGTCTGGTAACTTAATGAATGAGTAAACTAGATATTTTAAAGCAGATTGAGTTGCCTTTGTTTATATCACAAAGAAATAAACCCCAAATACAGTCTGTCTTTTAAAAACAATGTTTTATCTCTAAAATGTGTTTTGTTTTTGTTACTTTTGTTAGTTTAGAAATATAAACTTTAATGTTGGCTTCATTTGTCAAGCGGTATTCTCTTTTTCCTGATATTTTTCAAAGCCTTATTGCATTTTATGATCTCAGTTGAATTCTAGAATAGTAGAAATTTTTTTCTTTAGTATGGCTCAGAAGGGCTGTGAGTTTGTTTGCTTGTCTGAACACATCCATCCGGCACAGGCGTATTTGCTGTTTCCTTCTTGACAGTGTCATTTCTTGAGTCAGCCTCCCTTTAGCCACCCTCTTCTGGTTAACTGCTCTTACATTTTAAGTCAAGATCCCGAAGAAGGCCACCTCCCTCTCCCCTAACGACATCTCTCTGATTTGAGCTTCACACTTGGGATGTGGGTCAGACTTGCAGTTTCCTCCTGCAGCCTGCTGGCTCTTCGGCCCCCTCTGTGCTAGAGGCCTGCCGCTTCTCACCCTCTTCAGTTGCTGCTGTTGTTCTTGCTCCCCTTACTGCCATGGCCTCCTCGGTTAGATCTTGTCCCTTCGCAGCTCAGAATCCCACTGTGTGCCCCTGTCCCCTGCAGAATAAAACCCAGTGGCCTAGGGAGCTCTGTCCTGTGTCTCTTCACCTTGTGCCCCTCTGACCTTATCTGTTCTGCCCATGATCCCCACATCCAGCCACACCTCTGTATTAACTACCAACGCAGTGCGTACTGAATACAGTACTTCTTTTCTTTATGGTTTGTCCTCCTCACTAAGAATGTAATCTCCGTGACAGCAGAGGTGTTTGTCTGTTTTTTCTCTGTCCCTGGGCCCTGGGGTAATTAGTGGTATAGTAAGTGTTCCATAAGGTGCTGATAGAATCACTTATTTTAGCTTTCCTGTTTTATAAATGAGGAACTAAGTCCACATAGATAATAGGACTTTTTAAAGTTTTTTAGAGTGGCATGTCCTAGACCTAGGTTTCCTAAATTCTAGTCCTTACTTGTCATATACAGCATCATATGCTTTGTGTGGAAAAATGTGGTTTTTTGGTAAGTGAGTTTAACCAGAACCCTGTCTTCAAGATCAAAGGAGACTAACTATAGCTATACAGAAGGGTAATTGCTTAAGAATTATTTTAATGCCAAATAGTTTATTGTCCCAAACAACAAAAACAGTAAGTTAGCTTCAGTAACCTGAGCCAGGTATTTTTCTCTTCAGTAATACTTAGGAGATGTGTCTTTTCTTTTTAGATATGCACATGATGGTGTCCAGGCCGGAACAGTGGGTAAAACCAATGGCTGTAGCAGGAGCCAATCAATACACCTTTCATCTTGAGGCAACCGAAAACCCAGGGGCTTTGATTAAAGACATTCGGGAGAATGGGATGAAGGTGAGAGGTCAGCAGTGACAGTAATCCACTGTCAGAGTGGAAGTTTGGGTGGAAGACAGGAAGTGATAGGCAAGGCCAGACGGAGGCAGCTGTTCTTCAGCCGAGAAGCCAGAGTTAAAGTATAACTGGTTTGTTAGACAGGATTTCTATATTCCACTAATGTTTCCTGAAAATTACTGCCTTTTAGAAACATTTATGTTTGGGTAGCCTTGTTGACTTTCTTAAAAAAGTAACTACAGTCTGAATATGCATTCCATTTCTGTGCCTGTCCTACTCTTTAAGAATATTTCTACTGGGTGTGATATGCCACAATAATATAATATGGAAATAATTGCTAATGTGATGTAGCAAATTTGTCTCTGTTATAGGTTGGCCTTGCCATCAAACCAGGAACTACAGTTGAGTATTTGGCACCATGGGCTAATCAGATAGATATGGCCTTGGTTATGACAGTGGAACCTGGGTTTGGAGGGCAGAAATTCATGGAAGATATGATGCCGAAGGTAAAGAAATACTTCATTTGGGGGTGAGGATTTATTGTTTGTGTTCATTCAGTAAGCACAAGGAAGAAAACATTCAGTTTTTATCTGTGTAGCCGTTAGATCTTTTGGGAGATTTCTTTTCATAGGATATTGAGGGTTTTATCTTTGTCTTGTTTGCATGAGGTATATTCTCTGCAAAGCCATGACAAATTGAATGCCATTTCCCAAACAGAACAAGTCTTGCTTTTATGAAACTGAATTTGTCTCAGTATATTAAAAAGGAAGGTATCGCCAATCATAATTTGTATTAATAAAAAGTTAGCATGTGTTGAGGCGCCTGGCTGGCTCAGTCACAAGAGCATGTGACTGTTGATCTCTGGGTCCTGAGTTCAAGCCCCACGTTGGGTGTAGAGATTACTTTAAATAAACTTAAGTAAACAAACAAATGAATGTGTGAGATATTTGGAGTCCTGTTGTAGTGGCTGATACTGGCTATTTGATTTTTTTTTTCCCCTTTGGTTGTTTCCTGCCCCCAACATATCCACCATAGGAGTCACTGATTTCTTTGTGTATATCTAGGTTCACTGGTTGAGAACGCAGTTCCCATCTTTGGACATAGAAGTTGATGGTGGAGTAGGTCCTGACACCATCCATAAGTGTGCAGAGGTGAGACTGCTACTCAGCTATGACTCTGACCAATATCCTTTCACATATATTGTCTAGGACATTGTCTTGTCAGCGGAAGAGGTTTCCCCTCCATTTCCTAAATTGCCTTTCTTTCTGAGAAGAGTAATTTTTTCTTATTCAAATGTAGAACTACGAAAATGAAGAGCAATAAGAGAATGTCCTCAAATCACATTAAAACGTTAAGTCCCAGTTCTTTGAGTGATGCTGAAGGAAGTTACTTTTTTAAAAAACAATATGCTGAATGCCAGCCTTTTGGAGATCATTAAGTTCTAGGCCTTGGAGTAGGACATTTTTCCAAAATAGGGCAAGAAAACATATGTGCTTATAAAGTGGAAAGATTCTTATTTTGTGTAACTGAGGTATATTAATTACTAGTATGTCCCTTGCAAGAATTGACCAGAGCCATTTCTGATGGCTCCATCTCCATCTGATTTCTGGGTACCTGTGATCCTCTGTGCAGAGGTGGGGTGGGTTTTCCCAAGTAACTAGCCGAGCTCAGTAGTTAGGCCCTAAGCTTCATAAGAGGGTGGCAGCCCATCACCTCAGGGTCCTGAGATCCAGCCCCATGTTGGGCTCTGCACTCAGTATGGAGTCCTCTTGAGATTCTCTCTCCCTCTCCCTCTGCCCCTCCTGCTCATGCTTGCTCTCTCTCTCTCAAAAATTAGATAGATAGAGAGAGAGAGAGAGAGAGAGAGAGCCAGCCCTTCCTGTAACACTGCAGGTCATTAAAAGTTTATGTGGTCCATTTTTGTTAAGCAAAATGGTCAAATCTGCACTTTTTTTTGTATAAATGCCATACTTTTCTGCTGGATACTTCTCAAAAGCTTGGCTGTGAGGTATTTATGGAAGAGGAGCTAACTAAACAGCCTGTATCCTTTGACCACTTGTGGAGTTCTTTTTTACTTAATTGTGCTTTGCAATTGGGCTTTCTCTGCTTTCGTTAGAACACATGTCAAGCTGTAACCATACAGAACTTTTTTTTTTTTTTTTTTTTTTTCATTTTAACGAGGAGTGTTGTTAGTGATGTAGTATGCTGTATCACAGTGACAGTGTCTCCTGGGAGAAATTTCCTTCCCCTTTGGGGCCTCTCCCTTTAGCCTCTTACCACTTTGTTCTGGCAGCAGATCACATAACAGATTGGGTTTCCCTCCTCAAGTCAAATCCTGGGAGCTCAGAGCTAAATTTGGACATACCTTACTTGCTTTTCTCTATGATTTCTTTGGTTCCACATTTAAGAGTATCTTGAAAAATTTTTTAAGCCCCTCAGAGCCTTTCTGGAATGCAGTGAGGCATTGCATGAAAGAGTGTTTCATTCTTCCTGACATCAAAATGAGAAATTATGTAATGTTGCTATATTTTATAGTTTCACATTTTAGCAGTTATTGTCTTCCAAATCATACACGTTTGACCCTTGAATAACATGGTTCTAAACTCCGCGGATCTCCTTTTACAGTATTCTACTTGTATTTTCCTTATGATTTTCTTAAGATTTTCTTCTTTCTAGTTTACTTTCAGAATACAGTATGTAATACACATAATATACAAAATAGGTATTAGTCAACTGTTGTTACTGGAAGGCTTCCAGTCAATAGGAGACTATTAGTTAGATTTTGGAGGGAGTTAAAAGTTACAGATTTCTAACTACACAGGGATTTGGTGCCCCTGACCCCTGCATTGTTCAAGGGTCAACTACATAGTTTAAAGATTAAAATAGAATTTATATTTTTAGTAGCCTTGTGAGCATTAGCATATTTTTCAAAAACCTTAATAGAGTTGAGGATTAAAAGTTCTTACAGCTTTTTCTAAATATTAGCAAAGATGCAACAATGTAGCTTATTTTAAGGTGGTTACAAGAGTCATTGATTTCTAAAACACATTTAAAATAATTTGATGTCTTCATTGGTTAAGCATTTTAACTTATGTCTTCATTGAACTAGATTGTGTAAGTCTCTTCACCTCCAGGTACCTTTTGCATAGCTAAAGTGCTGATAAATGCAAGGGTAGAAACTCTAGTCCAGAAATTCTGTTTAACCTAAATGTTTACTTCTTCCAGGCAGGAGCTAACATGATTGTGTCTGGCAGTGCCATTATGAGGAGCGATGACCCCAGATCTGTGATCAACCTGTTAAGAAATGTTTGCTCAGAAGCTGCTCAGAAACGTTCTCTTGATCGATGAAACCACAAGGAGTCCAGTGTTTATGCTTATGAAATCTTTTTACTGGAAGACAAGAATATAGACAACCAAACCCTATCACGGTTGAAGCAGTGCTATTTTCCTGAGCAGCTGTTCATTCCAGTGACTAAAATCTATTCTGCTGAATGTTCCAAGAGGTTCGAAATTGGTGTGTATAACTACATTTTTAGTGATGGAATTTAAAGATGAGTGTGGTAAAATACCATTTTTACTGGGAGACTTGATTTTTATAAAGTACAAATACGTCTGTATTAAGGTTATAAACAGAAATGTGTCTTAATGCCTAATGAAGGCATACTAGCTACTACGAAAAAATGTTTTCTTCTGCATTTTACATCTTCTCGCTTCTTGATTGTTTTCCAAAGCAAAGGAAGTCCCTATTCCTGTTTCGTGTCCTTTTTGATTTGTGTGTGTGTGCATGACAATATGAGTAGAATGGAACTTGTGAAAAATCTAAGAATCTGGCTAGGGGGACATACCGTATTCTTTTTAAACATGTTTTTTCCCTTGCACCTTATATTTGATACATAAAAACTGTAAAAACCATAATATGAAGCCCAGGGATTTCAGGTGGTCTGTTCTAAAGTACAAGTATAGATTTTATCAAGGTGTTTTCTTTGTTAGCTCTGCGGGAGGGGCAGGTTATACAGTGATCCCCACCTATCCCTTTTCTTACCATTCTTAAGGACATGAGGATGATGTGCTAGCTCTGAGCAGAAAGGGAAGGAGAGCCTCTATTTGGAAGTAATACTGAGTTGAATCTGGACTCTTTCCTTTCCAACTATTTGACTTTAGCAAATCAAATAATCCAGCCTCTTCAAGTATCTGTTAACTGATTTATACAATGAATATAATTACAATAACCATGCAGGGTTGTGTTGAGCATTAAAAGAGATCATATGCTATATGTAAGGCTTCCACTACTATTCCCAAAATTGTAGGATAGTTGAATTGAGGATGCTCAATACAAGGTAGCTGTCATTATATAAGTTTATGTTTTGTAGCCTATAAAGTACTTTGATGTAATCTCATTAAATCCACAAATCTCCCTTGTGAGTAGTAGGACAGGTACTTTTGTCCCCATTTTAAAAATGAAGATACTAGAGCTCAGCCACAGGCTGGTACCATGGAAAGAATCCAGTAGGGCAGAGGATTTCTGGCTTGTACTCTTTCTACAAATGGAGCCCTTGGGGGGTTAGGGTTAGGCAGAGGAAGCCTCTTTTATGTAACACTGTCTTATTTCCAGTCTAATTTTACCCTGTGGCAGAACCAGATGGCTGAGGATGTTCTGGATACTATGGATTTTGACCCCAAGGATATATATTTTATTAATCCAACAAAGACCAGGTAGGCCAAAAGAGGACAAGGTATAGAGTTAATCCGTAAACTAAAATTGTGTCCCAAATTACACTTTGACAATAAGTATGTATCCGGTATTTGCAAATACTCTCGCTATATGATACATATGGCAAGAAAGAAACAGACCAGTGTCATTAAACTTTTTTAGGCTACTATGAGTTTTGAGAAATAAGGTTTGAAAAATAACATTAACACTTTCGCATAGAGCTTGGTTTTTTTCTATACTGCAATGTAAAAATTTGTTGGTTTTTATTTTGAATTAGGAAAGGTTGGTGTCAAAAAAAAAGGAAAGGTTGGTGTCATGAATAGGTGGCACTTAAATCAGATAACACGAGGCATATAGAAATAACTTTAATTAAAAAACTTACATAGAAGATTATAATGTCAGACATGACAGAAAGATTTGAGCTTATTTGCCTAGACAACTTGGGTTTGTCTGGCTTTTGTTTTCTTTTTTAAAAATAAATGTACAGTAAAACTACAAGCAAAAAATTTGTCAGTATTGAAACTGAATTTTTTTTTCCTTCTTTACAGGGACTCATATAATTTCTAGTCCCTAACAAAAACTTAGTGTCAAATCCCCCCAGACTAGGCCAGATGGCCAGGATTGTCAGTTAATATGGGTATTATAACTTGAAAACCTTTTTTTACATGAGAGAAATTGTCCTCAACTTTTACATAGAAAAAGTTATATGATAACTTCAAAAGGAATTTCCTTTCTTTAATGTACACTCCTGTATTCAGTATTGAAGCATTATCCTTTAAAAAACTTTAAAATTCTCACTCTAGGATACAAGTAAGATTAGATGCTTATTTGACTAGAGTGAGCTATGGTAAGGAATGACCATTTTAAGTAGAAATACAACATTTTTTATACTGATACAACTTTCCTGTTTGTTGCTCATTTTAAGTTGATGCCTTCTTTTATGAGATACATAAAATAGATAAAACTCAAGCTTTAAAATAGACCAATATTTAATCTGCTTTGCTTGTCTGAATCTGTTAGCAAATAGAAAGTAACCTGTGTTTAGTTTAACAGATAACAGTGATTTCAGAGAAAGGTGTATTGTGTTATCTGGTATAGAAATTTCCATAAATAACTTCTATTGGCTAAACATGTTTTTAAAAAAAATTCCCTCCCTCTATAGTCAAGACTTTAGATATCCATTATCACTGGAACCTGTGCTTTATTTATAGTGCAGCTTACATTTCCTGGGGTAGTTCATACATGAATTTTCAAATGGAGTGGTCACTGCCAGTGTTTTTTTAAAACTATGTGTGTGTATGTGTTTGTATACTGTATACACACATATTTGTATACTCTAATATATTTCTGGGGCAATTTTAATGAATTACCCCGGAAATTACATAGAAATGAATAGAAAAAAGAGCTGTCATTTGATGCACAGGTGTATATATGTGTGTGTGTGTGTGTGTGTGTGTGTGTGTGTGTATGTATGGGTATAAAGTCTTTCAAAAGTTATTTACCCAGTAATGTGATATACCATCAGATTGCAGCAGTTAATTTTTTGGTGCTTGTGATTTGCATCATAAACACAAAAGACTAGCACTTGTCTGTAGGTGAAAAGCTAGTTATTTCTGTGGTTGAAGAATGAAAAAGAGACCTACCTTGCCTGTTATAGAACAGCATAAAAGATTAATACATGCAGTACATGCTCTTATTCTGGAATTGTGACCGAAGGGGTTGGGGGATGGAGAACAGGGCTGATTTTTTTTTTTTCCCCTCCTGTTTTCCACTCACGTACATACTTTTTTTTAACCTGTTGCCTGTCACCTATTTTTTTTAACATGAGTAAGTCCTAGACCAAAAGGTCTATACTCTTCCATTTCATCTGCCTGCCTTTTTGGATGGTGACTGTTCTCGGGTACACTGGTACAGAAGATTTCACCATGGGAAGCTGGGCTTGAACTTCCACTGTGATCCTTTTTTCCGTCTTGGCATAGTAAGGCTTCCGTGTCTTCATCCTTCAGTGGAAAAGCCCGTCGTTCCCACCACAAAGACTGAAAGAACATTTTCAGTTAAGTTTCAACTAATTTGTTTAAATTCATGTATCAAATGGTCCTTAAATGTCAATTTTATAATGACTATTTTGTTAACACATAAATGAACAAACTTTCATTTGGACCTGAACATCTAGCAACTCAAATAGGACATACTGGGAATTGTTTAGAGACCTTTGGGAGTTAGGTTGTTTTTGCTGTGCCCTTCCACAAAGAGGAGATGCTGCTGTTCGGCATCGGTCTTCATTTTCAGCATCAGAACATGTTGGGGAAAGGCCCTTTCAGAGTGTTTTGATCCCCTTCTACTTCAGTGTCTTCATTTTTCAGCCCATAATTATTATAGATACTTAACTGACTTTTCCTTCCCCAAGTTTTCTACAACTTGCCAATTAATTTCTACAGTTTTGCTCTCCGTTCTAGATAATGTTCTTTTCTGACACCTACTTGTGAAGAACCGTGCAAAAATTTATAGATGCTGTGTTAGAAACACTCTCCTTGAGCTTGAGGTAAGAATTGGATCCATGCGGAGACATAAAAATCTCTTTTAAAAAAAAGAAGAGAAATAGCTCACATTTGCTCTGTGCCAGGTGCTATTCTCTCTAATCAAATCTGTTTTGAAATGAAACTTGTATAGAATCCCCATTTCCTAACAGAGAAGTGAGTATATGAAATTAGACACTGACATGAAAAGATAAAGTGTTAATCAGCAATAGACCTAAAATGCTGGAAGACATACCCTCTGATTTGAACCCAGCATTTTATATGGTATTGTTGTATTGAATTTGTTAAGTAATAATGATCCTTAATTTGCAACAAGTACTTTCTACACACAGGTTTTAAAAAGGTTAAAAGGCATTTAAAAGGTGTAACTAGTCCTGGGTATTACACTTACCTTGATTTCCGGACTCTCATTTAGTGAAGGTGAGCCCTGCGCACTCAGATCCTGGCTCTCTGAAGGAAGCTCAGCAGCACTTTCAGCAGCACCATGCTGACCACCACTAAAGTCATTAGGGTATTCTTTCAAAAGCAAGTCCTGTCCTTCAACATTTTTACTGTAGGCTCTAGCAAGAAAATCAAGAAAATACTTAGTTATTACATTACTTCTTGACGTGTTAACATTTTATGAACAACCCCAAGGTATTACTAAGTCAGTTTAACTTGGTACCTTTCTTTAAACAGTTCTGCCCACAAGATTTTTAAAAGTTCATCTGCTGATCTTCCTGATGCTATCTCAAAGACTTATTTATTAGTATTTTCTCAGTACTATTTTATGAATTTGCCAAATTATAATAGTGGGTTTGAATTTTTGAGGGTTTTTTTGTAATTTTTATTTTTAAATGAGAAAGGACAGCTACTTGACCTTCACAGTCTTTCTGAGTTCCAGAGTATTCTATATTATAATGTCATCCGTGTAGGACTCGATTCACATTTTCTTCTACTTCTGGAAAGTTATATCTCTGGAATGTGGAGAAAGATGAGAATTGAGTCTCCTATATGTTAAGACAGCTCTTGGAATAAGGATCTACAACAAATCTGGATATTCTGAGACCTAAATAGAGAAATGGGACTTGTCAGCATAGCCTGCGACTCTTGGTCTCTGGGTTGTGAGTTCAAGCCCCACATTGGGTGTGGGGAGATTACTTAAACATAAAATCTTAAAAAAAAACAAAAAGTAACAGCTGACCCTTGAATAACACAGGGGTTAGCACCAACCTCCTTATGTGGTCAAAAATTCACATATAACTTGACTCCCCCGAAACTTAACTACTAATAGCCTACTGTTCACCAGAAGCCTTACTGATAACATAAACAATCTATTCACACCTTTTGTATGCTATATGTAGTATATACTGTATTCTTACAATAAAGTAAGTCAGATAAAGTAAGCTAGATAAAAGAAAATACATTTAGAGGACTGTACTATAAAAAGTCTGTGTATAGGTGGACCCATAT